AGGAACCCTCTTTCAATGACAGGAATTACAACCTGTTGCAAAAGCAGACCTTTGCAGGATTTACAGCTATTCAGTGAATCGGTGTGGGACTGGGTAAAAGCTCAAGCATGTAATTTCCCCCCCACTCCTTCCCTTCAATTTTATAGCTGAAAACTGCTAGGGAAATTAGCGGTTCACCTGTTCTCAGCACCTTTTATTTTGTGGTTCAAACATTGAGACCGTTTGTACTGAGAACCGTGCTTCAAGCTAAATAAAGCATCTTTGGGAATCAGATGCAGCTCCCATGTGACCAATATGTTGACAAGTAGTTGGAAGGAGTGACTGTGTGAAAACCGCAGCATCCTCGCACTATCATTAGAACGAGCCAAGCCGTCTGCACAAAATACAAGGTTTTCTCATTAGCAGCATTCGTCCCTGATGGAGGAAACTTCCCATGGAAGAAGTTTAGATCTGATGACGGTGACCTAGAATCCTGAACCCAGTTAATCCTTTTCTGTTCCTCTCATGCAAGGGGCAGATGGCGAATCCTCTCTCCACCCAGCTGCGTGGGTTTGTTCCCTGGCTTTTGGGTCTGTTCATGCCCTTACAGCTTGCCCAGGGAGAAGGGGAGTTCGTCATCTTAGTTGTTTCCTACCAGCGCTGCTTTCCAAGGACCTAAACGGAAGCCAAGAAAGAAGTTTTTGTGGAGAGAAGGCAGCCAGCCAAATTTCCCACTAACATAACCCTGTTTGCATTTTTTGCAGTACTCCAAGCAGGTGGATGACAGGTTCGGAGCCTACGTGGCTTGTGCCTCCCTAGTCTTCCTCTTCATCTGCTTTGTTCAAATCATAATCGTGCCACAGTGAGTACCTTTTTATCCCTTTGCTCCCATCTGCTCCCCTCCTCTATTCTGGCCTACTTTTCTTTGTTTTTCTCTTGAGAATTCAGAGCACCAAGGGGAAGAGAAAAAAACCCTTAAATAATTCATGTCCAAGTGATGCATGGTGCTTATTGTTCTCACTCATTTCTAGTGCAGATTAAAACCTCCTCACTGGCATGTGAGGATTTCTGTTTTCCCAGTGTGATTTCTCCTACCATTTACCTCCACCTCAGGAAAGTCAGTTCAGCACATTTATAAGCCTGTGGAAAACAAATATCGCTAAGTAGGAAGGATTGCCTACTAAGGCATAGTACACATGCACAACACGAGGCTGGGCTGTGGGCTGTTCTTATCTGAATGCAGTGGGACGGGGAGGTGAAAAACCCATCACAGCCTCGTTGCTCAGAGCACTGAGGTCTCAGGGTCTGCTTCACAGATGAGGCATAACCTCTCATGCATTTATTCTTCTGGACTCGGAGCAGCAGTGCAAGAAGAAAGGTAGGGAGGGAGTTGAGCTACACATGCCTAAGCTTTGAGTAGCTTATTCCAGGTTTAAGGGTTGCAGTAATTTCTTTCCCCGGGCAAGAGTGGCATGAGCTCCTCAGGGCTGTGGAGCGCAGGGCTCTTGGACCACTGCAGTGAAATGCTTTGTCCGAAAGGCGCAGTGGAACCCACTGGATCTTTTCCAGCAGTGAGCTCTGCAGACATGGTATTTCTTCTCGAAGAGTTCATTAAAAAAATCCCTTAAAATTAAAGCATGTTGGTATTTCCTGTGCTCTGGTTTAGTAGCAATAATATATCATTCACTGAGCACTGCTGTGTTGGAAATAAATTTGGAGTTAGTCATTTTTAATCTGAAGAACAAGATCACAGAAGCTCTGAAAATGCTCCAAATTCATCTTCATTATAAGAAGACAAAAAATTGTTTAGAGAGAGCTCCAATACTGTTTTATACCATTACAGCTGCTTTCTACTTCTGTTCACACCACAGATCTTTTCAGAGTAGAGATTGGTTTGTAGTGTTCAGATCGGACATTCAGAAGGTCACAGAAACAAGGCATAGTCTGATGTTTGAGGTCATTCACTCTCCCAGGCAAGAGGACATTCACTTCTGCTCACAGAAAAATTGAAGCAGTAAAATAACATCAGTACAAATGCACTGTGTAAACAGACAGATCCGCTTTGGGAAACTGGACGTGAAGCTGAAAGAGGCTCAAAATTGAAACTAGATCAATCCCAGCATTTAATGCGTTGTTAATTACATCCAAAAATGTTCTTTGAGAGTAACTGATTTAGCAAGGACTTACACTTCGGATCTCTGGATATTACTGCTGTGATTTCACACCTGCAGAGGCCCTCCCTCTACCGGCCTTTGTGTTGCTCATCAAACTCCCTAAGCAGCCACTAAGCTGTCTCCATAAAACCCAGTTTAACATTTAAATGACAACTTGACAATTTCTGATCTGTGGCGACCATATGGCCAACTCCTTTGTATTACGCAGGAGCCGATCCCTTATGGCAGCGTGGTGTAAATGTCATGCTTCTCAGTCTCCTTCCACACCGTCCATAAGGGTGGTGGTTGGTGTTTTTTGGTAAGTTCTCAAGTGTCTTCAGGCAGCCTGGCCTGTCTGAAAGATTATTTGCTTCAAGAATAAATAAAATTCCATGTTTTAACTGCAGGCCAGATATACTCTCCTTCACGTTTTGGTTTGTTTTTCCTTATATCTCAGTTGCATAGTTTTGGTCTTTTATTGAAGGTAACAGTTAAGCAGCAACTGAAACCACAGGTGTATGTGTGTCACCATCAGAGCTTCATGGAAGACACAACATGGAATTTGAATCTGAAACTAGAGACAAAATGGCAGTGATAATTCATGATGATAAAGAGGAATAGCTTTAATGAATTTCATAAAGGCTCAAACAGAGAATTAGCAAGTACAATAATCTTAATAGTCATGAGAGAACACAGAGACCAGCTGGCTTTGGTGTGGTTGGCCTCAATGTCATGTCGCAAGAATACTTCCTTTAAATTATGAACAAGGCTAACTCCTGGGGGGGGGCTATCCTGTCACACTGAGACCAATCACTGGGAAATTGTTGAATATCTTCGTGATCAAAACATGAAAACGCATAGTACAAAGTTGGCCCTGGAGTCCTGTTGGACTTCAGAGTTGGGAGGAACAGGAACCTCTCAAGCTGGCCAAGTTAAGGCTGTTTTCCCTGACTATGCTCATGCCATGGTTGCTCCCATCCCATGCACGAGACAGAGCACAGAGCATGGTGCAGCACAGACATTCCCTGTGCACGGCAAGGACGGGTAGCTCTTCCCGCTGAGGCTATTCCCACTTGGCTGCACTGTGGTGTTCAGCACGCTTTCCTTCCCAGGCCCACAGCCAGCCAGGGGCCGACCTGCCCTAACAAATTGTTCTACCAGCTCCTCTAGCGCATGAAGTATTTCTTAGTCCCTCTGCTGTCACCCCGGCAGGAAGGTGATTGCTGTAAAAGATGCAGTATTCTCTGCTCTGCAGCCTGCATGAGTAATTCGAAATAGGACAGAGTATCTGTTGGTATTCAAGGCACCTCCTATCTCCTACTGCTATCCTAATTGGAAATGCCATGCAGTGTGCCATAGCTTCTACAAATGTACAGCAGAGTTGCAGCTATTCTATACAGTGTGTATTTAAAAAAAAATCTCCTTGATTTCAGCTCTACATTTATGCTGGGTTTTTACCTGACCTGTTTCCTGATTCTGACCACAGTGGTGTTCGTTTCTGTCATTTACTCCTGTGTAAAGGTGAGTACTGTGGTTTCTTTGTAGAGTCCTTTGCCTAGGATAACTGGATCAGCAATCTGTTTCTTCAGCTAACAGAGCATGTTTTGTTAGCCATCCTTTCCACACTATGTGATAAGGGTTACAGAAAAAGCCTTTGATTACACAGAATGAACTGCGAGCAGATGTTAGGGTTGGCATCTCTTTAGCTCAGCGAGAAGTAATCACTCTGTGGATCTGCATGTCTATTAAGTCCCCTGCAGGCACTCTCATATTGATATAAGAAGAACACATTTTCCAATGTGGAACGAAACACTGACCATTCGCTTCCTCCCTGTAAACTTCCTGCGGAGTCGCCTGTGTACTGGCCCCTGCTGCATATGCATGTTTGGGTAGGCAGATAATCAGAAGCAGAATATCATCAAGGAAAAATGTCCTGGGGGAAGTAAAAGCCATAAACATACAGAAGTTTATCAGCCTTTCTCAGAGGAGTATACAGAGCTTCCAACATTTGGTGGGCTCTTTCTTGTAATTGGTTTTGATCAGCAAAGAAATACATCATGTGAAATCCAAAAACATATTAATAATTCTTGGCAGTCTGTGGTAAATTGAGAGTGCTTTGGGAAGGGTGGTGTGCTCATCTTTTTCACTCAAAGGTATTCCTATTAAAATGTTGATCCTAGTTGATTGTATTTGCAGTTTTGGGGATCCTTCCAGTCTAGCAGTGTCTGAACATGGAACACATTCAGATTCAGTCTCCTTAGCCCAAGCTCAGCTGTGTTCCTCAGAGCCTGGAATAAAATAGCTCAGTAGCATTATGTTTCCTGCAGAAGAACCAGTGGGGTAATGAATTATGTCAGGCAGATGATTTGCCTCACTTTAATTATCTTCTCTGTGCCATTTTCAACAGTTGAATGTGGGTGCTCTTGACAGACTTGCACCTTTCATGTGTTTTTGATTTTTGAAAGTTAGATTTGGAGAATTAAGCTTTGCCTTCTCATTTAATAAGAGCTACAAACTGTTCCCAGTGAAAGAATCTTCAAGTTATATTTGAACTGTAACAACTCACTCACAGGGCTTCCCTTGGGCTTATGACAATTTTAAAGGGAGCCTAGTTCATAAGCATAGCATCCCGTTGGTCCTGCTTGTTTACCAGCAATGAGAATTACAAGTCAGAGATAACAGTGCTAATAGGAAGGCTTGGGTCCCTTGAGCTGGGAAGTGGTACCCAAAGATGCCTGGTTATACTTGGTGTGTCTGTTGCACGTGAGGATGCTACTGAGTGTCGTTAATTTGTAAACTGGTATCAGCAGTTAATGTGATTAGCAGTTAATTAACAACCAATGTGGAAAGCTTTTGGTCACGGCCACAAAGGACTTGGAAACTCAGTGCAGAGCTGTGCTGGAGCCTCCTTACACTGCAGTGCCACCAGCAGCAACATCCCTGCGCACTGCCAGCCGTACAGAGCCACAGCAACACACCGGCTGTACTGGTGCTGTGCAAATGCTGGGGCCAGAGCTGTGGCAGACCCAGACCTCAGAAGCATTTGAGCTGGCTGACTTGCAACCAGATGGATTTCAAGGCGCACAGCTGTTTGTCACCCACTGGCTTAGGTTGCTTCCACATACTGACAGCAGCACTCATTTCTTCTGTCATCATTCAAAGGTTTGGCTTTTGGTTTGGGCTTTTTGGTTTAATATTATTACTAATCTTAATGATTAATTTAAAAGGCATGCAGGATTTTTCAGGTCCTGTGACCCCACTGTTCACTCTTGCTTTCTTTGCCTTGATCTTCCAAATTCCTGTAGAAGAGATCTGTTCAGTGGTGCCTGCAACTGTTTTTAGTCTGGCTTTGCCTCGGTGCACAGGCCCTGGAAACACAAGGCATCAGAGGGAATTCAGTCTAACATCAGTATTTAATGGGATTTTGTGAAGTTCCTGGTATTTCCAAAAGTGAGTTTTCAGCATGTTGGCCCAGTCCCACTAGGTGCTTATGTATAACATTCACTGTGGCCGGTGCCTTCTGTGCACAGATTGCAAATATTAAAAATATCAGGCCTTCTAGCTCCAGTACCTTTTTGATTACCCCTTTTTTCATGCTCCAAATTAGCCTCTGCTGACAACATCTCATTATGAAATGGCTTGTTTAGAGGATGGGTACGTCTAGCTTGTCAGCTGCAGCCTGCTTCTGTCATTGAAGATTTTGGTGTTTTAAGTCAGATGTTTTTTAAGCAATGGGTTCCCACAGCCTTTGGTTAAGGGGTTTTACTTTATTTCTGTATTCTGCATTGCTCCAGGAATACATATATACATATGTGCAAGGAAGGCACTTTTACAGATCCTTTAGATGACATTTTAAGACACAAGGATGTCAGCATTGTTTGTTTTGTTTCGCACTTCGATGTGGGATAGGAGAGCATGTGTTTTACATGCCAACGGTTCATTCCACACAAAGTTGGAAAGCAGGTGTCCACCCCAGGATATCAGCATAAGCATAACTTTTGCCTGTTTGCTGTGCTGTTACATGATAAGTGGCTCTTTTTTCTTCCTCTTTCCAGCTTTCATGTGAGATTTTCCTTCCCTGTTTTGGCCTCTCCATCTCTGGCTTTGACAGTGGCCGGCAGGCTCTTTCTGGACAACTTGATCGTTTTATTTTCTTTTGCTGTCATTATTATCTTCCACTATAAAATTCTCCACGGACTAGGAGTTGATCCTGGAACTGCCAACACAACCAGCTTGGCTTTCCAAGTTTCTTCAGCTGTAATAAACAAGAGAGTTCCAGTTCTTCACTTTGATGCTTCATGAAGACTTGGCCACCGCGAGAATGGTGTTCCTTCCCAATAGAGTCTAAGGTCATGGGAACCACGGTCCCTTTGCAAATACTCCACTGACAGACATCTGTTTTGCTACTAACTTAATCAAGTTTGTGTTTCTTCTTAAAATCCTTAACTTCTGGTATCCACACTGCTGTGTGGAATTCAACCTCTCGCATGTTCCTGGGAGCACATATGAAAGAAATTTCAAGTTATCCTTTATGAGAAAATAAGGGTTTTTTACCTTTACATAGGTGCAGTTTGCCTACCTGTTTCTCTGCCTCCCAAGGCTGGTCTAGAAGCTACTAAAGTGGGGTTTTTGCTTCTCAAGCAGGGGAGAAATACCTCTGAAAACTGTACTTTTTTTAATAGACTGATAAATCACTGTGAAATAAGTGATACAAATGGACTTGCAACATCAACTGGCCTGGAGATGTTGTCTTTTACTCCAGAAGCATCTTAATGTACTTCAAAATGACTCAAAGGCTTTTATTACAAATAGAAAAATCAGAACTTAAAGAACTCATAGTATTTCTTCCTCTCACAACACAACAGCAATTATCTGAGCAGTTTTCCATGTCCACAATATATGTTAAGAAGACAAAAAGGAGAAATACACCTCTTCTTTCTGTTATCAGCTGTTATTGCAAAGTACAGTTTAGTGTATTATTTTCATGTAAATGACTGGAGGTTGTGGATTGTTTTCACTGTAACACTAGTACTTGTTGAATTGGTTTCTAAATTCGGACTTTCACCCGTACAACAGTGCCCTACCTTCCCCTTCTACATTCATTGGTACCTGCAAGCTTTCAGAGCCTCTCTCTTCTGGGAGCTTGTGTCTTCCAGCAGCACTTACACATTTCAATTCAGAATGAACTGGAATTGATTGGACAATCCAGTTTCCCTTTTCCCACTGTGGTTATTTTATTTTACATGGGGTTGTTAAGAGGGCTAATGACTGACCTCAAGCTTGTGTGGCAACCCAAATGTGAATCTTGGCAGTCCAAATGGACCATGTCCTTTCTTTTAGCCCCTGTTCTCAGTAGTGTACGTGCAGGCTTAGAGTTGCCATTTCATCAACCCGCCCTTGTCCTGTTCTTCACTCAGGTAAGATTTGAGTCTTATTAAGAGGAGTAATGGTGTTGGACAGTACAAACCAATGGGATAATCAGCAACAGTGCATAGATTTTCACTGTACTATAGCGTCTTGCTTTTGTTCTGCTTCTTTTCCTAGGACAGAAAGGATTTTATTTCATTGCAGGATGGAATGGGCAGTAATTTTCTTTTCTTTTTTCTTCTTTATTGTTAAACCCCCTGACTTGTGGATGTTTTTATGGAGGGAACATTGCTAGACTGGAGCTAAATTGTCAGAGCTCAGACAAGTCCCTCATTTCTATCATAGAAGTCCTCCAAGCTGCACATATTCTTGGTCTCTGTCTGTCTGTGAAATGGGGAGAGTGTTACTTATGTTATTGAGCTTCCATCAGTGTTGTTTGCAAGGCAAAGGTTCCTCAGATGTATGGCATGGCTGTGCCATTGTGCTCTCGATTGCAATCCTGACCTCCTGTGAGTTTTGGCATTTGTTTCCCCTTCAGGACTTTTTTCCAGCTGTACTTGTTTACTGACCTAAAATTTTCCCTAGTTTGCAAAGTATGAGAACCAAGATTAATACAAAGAAAACATGTTTTCATTAGAATTTAAGTGTCTTCCACTGATAGTTTTGCTTGATATCTCAGGCTTGGTTCAAAGTCAGACTTTTTTTTGGGATCATTGGCAGCAGGGGCTTGAGCCAAGATCCACAACAAAGCACTCCCATGTTTTATTTAGGTGCCTGATTTCCCAGAGATTACAGAAGGAGGTTAGGTCCATGCATACCTTTGTGGAGCTTGGCCTTGAGGCCTAAACAAAGGAGTAGCAGGAAAACATGTCCTGCTCTAATCTAACGAGAAAACTGTCTAAAAGCTGCACAAATCCTCCTCCTCCCTCCAAATCCTATAAAGGTTAGAGCAGAGGAAAGCCCCATGGCATGTCTGTCATCCCTGCGCTGGCGGGGATCTGCTAGCCGATGTCTGCATGGAAGCAGCTGGACGTGGTAGGGCAAGGAGGTATTTTGGTTCATGGCTTATCAACAGAGCCAAGGATTTCTATATCAGCAAGGTTTATTTCTGAGAGAGAGGTGTTCTGCTTTGTTTCCAGCTGCATGAGCTGGAAGGTTTGCATAAGCTGTCAGAGAATTTCAGTCAATCCTCATGCAGTGCAAATAAGTTGTAATCCTGATTTCCCCTTTCCTCCCGTCCTCCCCAGAGCCTTTCTCTGTCCTCTCACCTGGAGGTAGCTGGATTTTTCTGTGTGTGCAGATGAAATCAGCTCTTTCAAAACAACTCTCACCATGTCAACCTCTCTCTCCCTCTGTAAAAGTCACCGGCTAATCAGTGCTTTGGAGGTTCAAACACTTCACAATTACGTTGTAGGACTGCTGTGTGGGAAGCTATGCACTGACAGAATGTTGCATCTCTGAAGATGTAAGAGTGAAGGATAAAAGGGAAAAGCAGGACTTTTAATAGAAACATTAGTCATTGTTAAATTGCAGTGCAGTGTCGTTGCGCTGCTAGCTTCTTTGTGTCTCTAAAAATACCCTCCAGTGGCTTGGTTATTCATGCAGCGTGCAGGTAGGGGAAGGAGAGTTGGGTTCTGGAAAAAACTTTGGCAGTCTTCAGCAGAACCCCTGGCCCCCAGCACGACAGCATGGAGGGGAAGGGCACTGCGAGGCCGAGGTGTGTCATTGTGCAAAGGTTTTCTGGCATCCATCTCTTGTTGCCCTGGTCTGGAGTTTGCACTGGGACGGTGGTGGCGAGTGAAGAGAGAGGGTTTGTTTCAATGTCCCCTGGACTTCTCTGGCAGCTGCAATTAGAAAGCAACTAGAAAAAAGCTTCTAGCTCTGATAGACTGTCCCAGTGATTCACTACTGCCTAGGGGAGGTCTGTGATCGCCTTCAGCAGCGGTTATTTTTAGCCCTGTGTGTCTGTGGTGGTGAGTGCCATAGACCAGAGGAGACCAGCTGATTTCTCCAGTGCCGTTCACCAAAGGTCTGACAGATCACAAGACTAGCCTGGGCTTTTTAACAGTCTGTTTCTGAATGGTACCAGAAAGTCCTACAATACCTTTGTGATCAAAGGGATATGACATGTATGTTTTCATTTCTGCTTTTTTTTTTTAAGTTTTTGATCCAGTAATTTACAGGCTCAAGCTCCTGGCTATTTCAGTTACAGATGGCTTGTGGTTTGCTTCTCACAACAGGATGAGCACAGCCCTGCAAGCTATGCTAGCTCAGTTCAGGAACCATCATTCCCATTAGGAAGGACTAAGTAGATTTGGTGAACTAGCTGGGCCTGCTGCCACGAGGCGGTCACGTTCCTGCTCGTCCTTGTCCCGGAGCAGCCATCCTCCATCACCATTCTCTAACCCCTGTGCAGCATCCGCACAGACACCACACTGAAGGATGCAGGCAGCTCAAATGCAGGTTGTAGTATGTAAAATAAGCAATGATTTTGCATGGGTTTTTAATATTTAATTTTTTTCCCACATGCAGCTTTTCCCAGCTCCACTCCAGACTCTTTCTAGGAAGATTGTACAGTCCAGGACCAATAGTACCTTAGTTGGAGTCTTTGCCATTATCCTGGTTTTTCTGTCTGCCTTTGTCAACATGGTATGTGCATTATTTTGCTTTTGACCCACTTAGTTCTGCATGGTTTTCTTATTGGTGCTCTGCAGCATTGTAACCCTTACAGCCATGGGGTTTAATGTAATCCTGCCTAATGCTTACACCATCTGAGGTCAGTTCCCTTTTGGTTTTCGGGCACAGAAAAGAAATGGGAGCCCAACAGCTGCACCCCTGTAGCCCATTATATGCCTGGCACTGATTTATGCCCATGTGCTTTTCTGATTCTTTGAATGCTTCTGCTCCAAGTACATAAGCCAAGGCTGAAGCATACCCCTGTGTGAAGGGCCAGTACGAAGGGGATGCGTCATTTAACTCCCACAATATTGAGTGGGACTTAAGTGTTGCGTAGGCTTTGTGCCAGCCTTCTGCACGGTGCTGCATCCTGCTCCGAGTGCAGTAATCACCTAACAGGGACTGTGAAGACTTTGCTTTGAGTTGCACTTTTGGGACCGGGGTGGTCTAGCTTTGCATTCAAACGCCACTGCTGATTTCAGACTTGGAGGGAGATGGCTGTCCTCTAGGACCCTGTGCCTGCTGGTTTCTCACTTCTACAAATGGCTTGAAGGCTGAATGTATTTTAAAGAAACCATGTGAACATTCTCTACCCTGCATACATCTATTTCATTTTTTTAAGAGAGAGGGAGCAAAATGGAGAGAGGGGCCTGGGGTTAAAGCCCTGAGCTTGGAGGTGGCTACAAAGACTTCACATGGCCCTCTGCTCCTCTAAGTTATGGGCTCAGCTGGGGCAGTGGTTACTTGCACTGGCATGGAGAGGCTTAAACACCTAAAAATCAGACCACTACTTGCTCTTGCCTCAGCTACCCTATACACGTGGTGGAGATTTAGGAACAATTTTATGCTCTGTTGAGGTACTTCAGTGGGAGGCGCTAGCTCGGTGGCATTGACACCCCACCACCTTCCCCCATAGTCACCTGTGAAGAGCTGGTGTGGGTTGCTGAGCACCACGCAGAAATTAGAGCTTTGTGTTTCTGCATAGTATGTGATTCTTTGCATTCGTGAACTGCTTAGTGTAAAAATTAACAAAATGGACAAACGGAGCAGCACATGGAAGAGATCAGAACGGGCCTCTGCTGCTTCCTCAGCATAACATAGCACATCAGCCTCTGAGCCTTGCCGCTAAAGGCTTCCCTGTAGAAGGACCCATAGCACAAGCATTAGAGATGGCCAGTTATCAGCTCAGAAATTCCCATCAACAGAAACAGAGCAACGCCAGGACCTTATCACAGACAGCAGGATATATTTGTATGTGTAATATCTATAGCCTCTCTGCCTGTGAACCTTCAGACATAAAGTTGTACGTGAAGTTGAGCACGAAACTAGCTTTCTAGAGTGCACAGCCTGGATTTTATTAATTAGTATTTTGGGAGAGAAAAAACATAGCCATTGCACATGCAGTAAAACATAAGCCGGTGATTTAATTTCACATATTTTGCACATTGCTACAGCCATTTCCAAGGGGCTTTTTAATTGATGCAAACTATTTTGTTTTCTTCTCCTTGTCTATGCTGTTGAGTTTAATACCATCTTTTTCTTCAGTTTATGTGCAGCACTGTGGATCTTGCCAGCTGCATGGCTGCAGAATACAACATCACTCCTGACCGGGTGGACATATGCCTTATCAGCAACCTGACTTCCAACTACAGCCTGGGCACCTTGCAGGGATTCTGTGACAGTCCTTCGCCTAACTGCAACTTTCCAGAGGTATTCTCTGAAAAAAAATGGGTTGCAGAACTTGATCTGAGAAGGGGCTATAAAACCTGTGCAATAGACCTCAGTGATTCAGAGGAAAGCCAGGTTGCTCCTGACTGATGTTACAGAACCGACACGGGCTACTATGCACACACTTAAGTGTCTGAAGTTATTATCATGAGTCCACATTAATGTGTAAGTTCCTTCAGGGCTGAATAATCAGTAGGCTTTTATAATTGTTGGATCCTGCCTGTAGCAGAACTTCTCCATGAAGTTCTTAATGGCATGCAGAACTGCAAGTCATTTCAAAGGAGTTTGTGGGTGCTCAGTGTTACTTGAAACTCAGTTCACTGAAAATCAGTGTCTAGTCATAGATTTAACCCTTCCCTCCATTGTTTTACATCCTGATGAAAAGCTTTACTTACATATTTTTTCACTAGGTATAGTAGGTTCTGGCCTCAGGCAGTTTAGCAGCCCTGATAGTGGTCTGCTTCAATCTGCAAATGCAATTCCTACCTCTTCAGAACAACTTTTTTTTTTTTTTTTTAAAAAAAAAAAGCTTCTGATGGAAAAAAAAAAAAACAAAAACACCCCAAAAAAACCCCCACAAATATGTTTTACACATTGGTAGAATACTTTGCAAAAAAAAAAAAAAAATCATCTTTTTGCATAGCTATTCAAGACCTTTCTCTGAGATTTTTAGGTCATGGTCATTACGTATGTTATCTACTGGAAATCGAAAAGGAAAAAATCTGTCTGGGATGGGGGCAGAATTTATGTTAAGGTCATCTGGATTTATGACAGATTTATGGCTGATCTGCTATCATCCAGATGTCCAAGGTGCTGCGGAAAGCCCTGGTATCCCACTGAACCTATTCTCATTTAACCTAACAGGAATATGGTCCCTATTTGATTCAGTGAGGTTTCTGAGACCACCATTACTGTGACTTTCAACCCTGCAAAGGCTCTTAGTATGTCCGCAGAAAGACCCAGGAGCAAAATCTGGCACAACAGAGAACTAGAAAGAGTTTGTGCCCATCATGAGGTTGTCAGGAGTGCTGGCTCAGGACAGAGAGGGATTTTAAGCGTTGAGGAACAACCATATTGCATGCTGAGGATGCTATGGCAGCCTTGAGCCAGGTCCTGCTGGTCAGTGGGCTAAGAAGTGAGGAGTCCCTCCTCTGTGCTCCGCAGGGCAGATGTTGTATCTGGTACAGACGTCGACTGTTGCTCCCATCAGGAGATGGTGGGATCCTGCCCCTCAGCCTCAGGGAACATCCACTCATTTTCTAGAAACTGAAGAGTCGAGTTACAAGCTGTACAAGTTATTTTCTCTAATTTAATATATCAGCAATGGACTATTAATAAATGAGCTCAGAACATAAGCGTATTTCTCCTTCAGCTAGGGCTTGCTTTTAACTGAATGGATGGATTGCCTCAGGCATCTGATACAGTTTTTTTGCCAGAAATAGGCCTGTCCGGACAGAGTGAAAGCTTAAATCTTCACAGATTTGATAACAGGAAGGTGCTGAGCTGGATAATATGCATCTCTTTGGTTTACATCCATGCTAGCTTTCCCAGGAGCCATAAATGGCACCTGCAGTCTGCAATTGCATTTGAAAGCACCAACATGCTATACATTCAGCTCTCCGATTGGCAGAAATTGCTGCCCAACCACCCAGGTGTGGCCGAGGGCTCCACTACCACACATGCACACACTTCTGCAACTGCAGACCATGGTGTTGGGCATTGGTAGAACTTTGTCCAGCCTGTATCTTGCCCATGGGTTCAGTGTGTCACATCAGCATGGGCAATACTTTCCAATTGGCCTCAAGTGGGTCTCTGTCCTCGTGGTGTAAATTGCTAATACCCTTGGTCCTGTATATTTTGCAGATAGGTGAATTTGAGTCCAGAATTTGACCTTAAAGCATGAAGTATTCCAGCATAACTGGATGAAGCTTTCTGCTAATTCAGTCACTGTGTCCAGGGCAAACCTACATCACAACCTTGGGCATACAGCTGTGAGCCCTGTGCCTCCTGAGTGTAAAGCAAATAATGAAGAATGCAAGAGTTTTCATCTCCATCCGTTTAGTTTTAACACTTAAATTTCCCATAACGTGGGAGAATCCCACAGGCAGCCCCAGGTTTACATGTTTGGTCAGCCCAACTACATAACTCCCAGTCCCTTTCTATCCTTTTGTTTAGTTTCCTTTGTTTTCAGTTTTGATTTATCCAGCTGACATTCATCTCTCTTCTGTTTTTTTTTCCTTTTTGTCTTTATACAGTACTTTACCTACAGTGTCTTATTGAGTCTCCTGGCCTGCTCTGTGTTCCTTCAGATCAGCTGTATTGGAAAACTGATCCTTATGTTAATCATTGAATTTATATATGTTCTCATTGTGGAAGTGCCAGGGGTCAACCTTTTTGACAATGCAGATCTCCTGGTTACAGCTAACACCTAGTAAGTGCCTTTCACTTCTGAAATCTTCACCTAATTTCTTTTCACTCAATGATTTCAGTGTGGCATTAGGTGGACGGGAGTGCCAAGGCTGTGGTGCAAGCAAGGGAAGTGCATGGTACCAGAGCAGGCATGGCTGTAAACTAAAGGCTTTGTCAATGCTGCTCTCCACCTCTGAAGAGTTGGAAAACACAGTTCCCTATAAGATCTTTTCAATGTGGAACTTAACTAATGAACCATCTATTAATAACAAAATGTAACTGGAATCAGAGTGGATCTCTATTTCTTCCAGAAATGGGGAGCTGTAGTTAGTCATTCTCACTTCTTCTGGTATTACACTCCCAATATAGAAATGCCTTTTCTCAAAAAAAGAAAAACAAAAACCTCCAACAAACTTGAGCTGGCTCAGGGATGTGATAATGAACCACCAAGATGTTCAGACATCTGGTATATTGAACCCAGGTTGCGGTGGTGGAATGGTGGTGTTTGATGTTTGACTGGTGATCTCCTGGCAGTTGCTGTTGGGCACGTTCACATTTGAAAAGCCAGTATCACAGCTGGTCTCAGCACAATTCCCAGCAGAAGGGCCTGGGCTAAGTGGGAGTAGTTGCCCTTTTACTTACAAAAGGTAGTTTCTCATCTCCAGGTCACACATTAATCATGGTGGCAACCTCCTTCCACTGACATGATTACCCCTCTCCTGAAGGTCACGCCAGGGAGGGAAATTTGGCACATCCACAAACCTGCCCTCCTCCACAGGTTTCATTTCTCACTGGGAGTTGAGTAGTTGTGTTAATTACTTGTTATGATGATTTCCCCGGTACTTGAATGTGAGTCAGTAAAATCATGGTGTTGTCTAAAGGTGAACATGATGTGAGGATGTATAATAAGGAGAGTCGCCTGTAAGACATGAGAAGTAGACCATTGCTCTATTCAGGAGTGGGAAGGCCTAACCTGGAAAATCTTTCCTAGTTTGGGGCAAGAAGGCAGTTCACGATAATGGAGAGTCTGGAGCAGCAAAGAGCAATCAGAGATCTAGAAAGCACCAATTTAGGTGAAACATTTGTCAAGGATGATAGCTGTGATTGCTTCTGCCTTGGACAGGAGGGTGGTTGAGAAGATTCCCATGGTCCTTCCCAGAGCTAATTTGTAGGTTATAAAATAGCTTGTGTAGTTGCTCAAGTTTCTTGATGGTCATTAACTCCTTCAAGCTGGATACACCTAGTTACTTCTGTCCTTCACATAAATATTCCATGATTTCAGCATTCCTGTGTGCCCAGTGATAATCAATGGAGGTATGGCTTTTACTGCCACTGGCAGTAAGCACTTCAAATATTTTGTTAACTCAGGTGAATGAAATTATGTAGGAAACCCCATGGAGCTTTCTGTGGAGGTATGGGGAGAATGAGTTTTCCTTCCTTTTTTTGGCAGATGTTATGTATTCTAACAGTGGAAGCTATTTAGCATTTTCTAACACAATTAGAGAAATAAAAGCATTTTATATCCCAAATATCATTTCATTCTTGTAAGTCAAGCACTAAGCGAAATTACAGCACTTACAAGTATAATTTGCGTCACTTCACAATCAAAATGTCAGTAATAAAGTGGAGAAGGTTAGCAAGTTTTCCCAGAAATAGCTTTCTGCGATGCTATATTATCTCTCACTAAATGATACTTGTTTTGTCCGGAGAGCTCCATGGATAGCTATTTATTGTCCAAATGTCTGGCAGTCCGTTTGTGTGTTGTGGGAAATAAGATCTCAGCATGTAGCCCACAGTTCAGAGATGTACCTTATTGTCCAGCTGATATTTAAAAAAAAAACCCAACATGACCTCATACTACTTTAATTGGCTGCCTGTTGTAGCTACATAATTACTGTCTGCTCTGCAGCCATTATGGTACTCTGACTAATTACAAGTGATGCAGATGTCACTTCACACTTCTGTGTACAAACCAACCCAGCATGCAAGCAATGGAAAGGCTGATTATAGCACGTTGGGAGTTGCTAGACTTGACTGCAGCAACACACCAGTGTGGTGACACATGAAGTATAACTGGATGCACAGAACTACTGTCATTGTATCTCTTCTCTATGCAGAAGACAAAACTAATGCATTGGTTTTAAAGATGCGATGGACTAATGTCATCTTCTAAGTTAAGTTCCTGGATAGTGGAGCCCAAAAACCTTTACCCAGTGATTTGTTCATCAAGCCTATCATTTCTGATGGAGTTGTGGTTTGTGATTTAGAGGGCTGTCTGTCCTTGGCATCGTGACTGTGAGAAGGGAGATGCTCCTGTCCTGTGGGACCTGTCCCCAAAATCAGCCAGCTTTCCTGCTAAAAAACCGTGCACTTAACTTGAGCAGGAGTGTATTTAGCCAGCTTCTCTCTGTCATACCTTCCAGTAATGAAAGAGCCATCTGCTATTGGAATTGTCTGTCCTGTGGGGGAGCAACCTACCAGTGTAACGCCATTATTGCTTGCATTGGGCATTTTCACTTATCCAAAGCGTTATTGTAAATACTGGGTTTGCTGCTTTTCATAGTATCTGCTGAAGATTTTAGAGCAAGCGTAACACCCACAGTGAGCTGCAGCCCCAGTACAGAGGATGAGATCCACCATGCTCCCATCATAAGACAGAGTGATAATGGGGAGGCAGTCAGTCATCTTTGGCCAGGTAGTGATTTAGGGGAGTAGGGGAATAACGCTGCATGTGGGAAGTGTCTCCAACTCCCACCTTTAGTGTGGGAGTCACTGTCCCCAGGGTTCCCAAACTGGGTCCGCATCCAAGCACACATGTTCAGTGCTGGAGCTGGCCAAGAGGCCATGCCATAGATTGTGTGCGAGACAACGGTGGGTTGCAAAATCCATGTCAGAAGAAATTCCATGCTCAGAGCTGCAGAAAATGTCTTGGAACAAATAAGGTTAGAGAGTCACTATGCTTTTATTTTTTAATTTTATGCCCAGTTAGGCTCCCTCGGCTGTTTAGATTTTGATGATTTGTATCTGATTCTATAGTGAGAGGTTCCCCCCAGAAAACTGTGGCCTGAAGCTCTGAAGACAGCTGAGATTCTCAGGCTAAAGATGTATCATGTTGGTAGCCTGCAAAGCTGTAATTGCATCAATGACATTACACTGATTTCTTTCTTTCCATTTAAATAGTGTTTTAAAAGATCCATGTACATGGCGCTCAGCCACCTAATACTCCACCCACACTTGAGAAGAAACCCAGCAGTATTAAGCAATCAATCAGTCCAGAACTCAGACAGCTACTACCTACCAGAAAGCTCCTTTCCATCCTTTCACTGTAAGAAAAGCACATCCTTCATCTTCCCAGCAGCTCTGCTTTGTACGAGTACTTTGCAGTATTGTGGATAGTAACAGCAATCCACGTGAGGGTTTTCTTCAGTGCACTCGTGTGCGGTACCCATAGCTAGGCACAACACTGGAGATGAGCAACTTGCAGAAGGGAGTAGTGCTAGAGTTAAAGGAATGAAACACATCTCCATGCTACAATAAATGGGGAAGAGAGGAGCTATCCCTCACAAGATATGAGCCCAAAGCTTCCTTCTTTAGATTAAATTTTACAGCCTGACCTAATGAAGTAGTAACGGATGCACAAGCATTTGCTGAGCATCCCACACTGACATTAAAATCCAAAATGATTCTCTAACTCTTAATGCTTCTTAGATATTTTAACCACATTAACCGTGTTGCACCATCACTCTGGATTTCTGAGTGTCGCTCACAGGACCTTTTTTCCCTACC